TTCTGTTCCAGGGGGATCCCTTTTATAGGGATTGATCAGGAGTTCCTGATCAATCCCAATTCCTCCTTGGACGGGAATTCAGTCTTTGAATCCAACTGGACTCTTCTGATTGAATTCTCCTCCAGAGTGAGATTCTTCAACTTTGAATCTTAGCCATCCAGAATTAAAATCAAAATAAATAAAAAAAATACTAGATAATCAAAAGATATGATAGTATAAAAATAAAAAAAAAATAATATCAGATAATTCGGAAAAAAAAAATCAGATAAAATTAACATATAAAAAAAAAACATAGAAAACCCCAAAAATATATACAAAAAAAAAAAAGAAAAAAAAAAGATAATAATATAAATATATAACATATATACATACAATACATATTAATCTAATCTAATAAAAAAATACAACAAGATATACATTAATAATAATAATATTAAAATACATTAAAATACAAAGAGAAAAAAAAAAGAAAATACAGGATTGAAATGGGCCTTACCCCTTTGGACCAGGCCCAATTGATCTGGGCCCGGACCCAATTGGGTGTCTACATGTATAAATCTTTTTCATACTTTTTTTCTAGGGTTTTTTAACCTTTTCTATTAAGTGACTTAGTGAGCTTTTTAAAATATTTAAATTATAAAAGTATATATTTCTTATGAATTTTACTTTTCATGTTTAGGACCTTTATACTAAACTTTTTTTCAATCTTTTTTTTTATAAGAGTTACTTGATATTAATAATATATCGTATATATTTTTTAATTTGTAGTTTTTAAAGGAAAAATATTTACAGATGTGTTAATGTTATACTCTGATTTAATTTTTTTTTAGTGTATGATTTGATTTAATTGTGTCATGTAGCACATTCTTGCTTTTTTTAATTTTGCTTTTTGAGGTTTTTCCTTTTTATATTTAATTAACTTTTTAAAAACATAAAAAATATTTTTTTTTAAAGATTATATTCTTTTTTGTTTGATCCACTTATATTAATTTTTTTTGTTCTTTCTTTTTTTTACTTTTCTTTTACTTTTTTTTAAAAATATTTAATAAATATTTTTTATTTTAATTTTTTTTAAGAATCGCTTAGAACCAAAAATATGTCACGTATTTTTTAGCTTTTTCATTTTTTACATATTTAATAAATATTTTTTTAGAATTTTATGTTTTTGTAATTGTCACTTGATATCAAGATTATGCTACATGTTAATCTATTTGATTTGTTTTTTGACTTTTACTTATATTATTTCTTTTCTATTTATATTTTATATTTAATATATTTTTTAAAATATTTTTAAAAATTTTAAAATATCTTATCCATTTTATATTATTATTAAAAATATGTATTTTTGTTATTTTTTTAAATTTAATAATTTTAAAAAAATAATATTAGCAGGAGACGTTGATATCACATCCGAATTTGATTTTTTTCTCCTCTTTTGGTCTTTTTTATATCAATGATATAAAATTCTTTAGAAAAACTCATTCTTGTCCTTTTTTTGCTAATGTCATCTTGATATATATAAAAGTATATATTTTATAATTATTTAAATTTTATATTTATATATATGTATTATATTCATAAAAGTTATTATTTAATATTTTAATGTAAATAATTAATATTTTTAACTTAATGGAAATGTCCATGTGGCATTCTTTATGACTTTATTTTATTTTTTTATTTGTTTTTTTCATTTTTTATTTTTTATATTTTGTCAGAATAAAAATTCAATTTAGATATTCAGATGCTCTATATGATTTCTTTTTTTTTTTAATTAGATAAATTTTATAAAAGATTTTGATAAATAAAAATAATAAAATAAAATAAATTTAATCCACAGTAATGCACAAGTGTTTCACCTAGTTATTATTATATTTGGTATATTATACCTAACAGTTTTATGAAATTTGGGTGTCTCAATTCTAAAAAAAAAAAAAAGCATATAACTATAAAAACCCATTTCTTTTCTCGTTCAAGCTGGTGACAACTCAAATATCCAAATCAATCTTCATATTTAATTGTTTTTATTGTTTTAAGTTCAATTTCATCATAATGGTTTTTCAACAAATAATTAATTAGTTTAATTTGTTCACAAATCTCAGCCTTGTCTTTTTGGCATTTTTGTATGTAGCCCCCAAAGTATTTTTCTTTCTAATATATAGTCGAATGATAAATTAATTAATTACAGTATAACCTAATCTTAACGGATTTAAAGCTAAATTATTTTCTCAAAACTCTGTGCCCTTCGATGCTAATTTTAGCTTCAACAAGATGTCGAAGAATACCTCGCCTTGCTGTTTATATATATATATATATTTTTTTAATTTTTTTTTTATGAAAAATTAGATTGCGTTGAAATCAATTATCTCTTGGTTTAATTATGAGATTTAGGTGCCCTCTTTTTTTAAGGGCAGTTTCTTAGGCAACTTGTGAATGGATATGAACTAATAACCTACAACGTTGAGGCATTTTCAGATTAATAAATATATGCGTGTTTGGAAAAAGCTCACATCAATTTTTTTTTTTTTTGAAGATTAAAATAAAGATATTATTTATAAAAAAAAAAAGTTGTTATATCTATGCACTCCCATCTTAGCTAGAGAGTCCGCAAAATAATTAGTTTCTCTAAAAACATGTACAAAAGTGATGTTGTTTACCCTAACGAAGAGATTGTACAGCCTATTCCGCAAATCATTATACTTTCAAGGGCATTCACTTACATTGTTGAGCCAAGCTGTAACAACTTTGGAGTCGCTTTCGATAATGGTATCAAGCAAGGGATCCAGGTTGGCATTTGCCACAATAGTAAGGGCTTCAACTACCGCTAGCAGCTCTGCCTGGTTCGACTCCTTGATTCTAACATTCTTGGAAAACATTAGCAATACTTTTCCCTTCCAATCGCGGATACCACCTCATATTCCTGCAGGACTAGGCTTACCTATAGCTGATCCATCTACATTGATTTTCTAGGGGAAGAGACCATTCGATGTTCCTCCTGCATTCTTTTTTATGGAGAGGAATGGATATACTTTTGAAGCTAGATACATAGTTTGATGGCAGGGAATTTAAATCTAGAAATTTGGCACTCATCCACCAAGCCAGTCTAGTACAAATCAGACTGAGGATATTGTCAAATGAATTGATTTTCTGCTTAAAGACTTTTTTGTTCTGGGCTAACCAGATTGACCAAACAACAACATAGAACAATGTATCCCAAATAATCTGATGTTGATTTTTAATAGAGAGGTAAGTCTACGAATCGAAAAGACTATTGAATGAACCAGGATAGCCCATGAGATGCTCCACTGATTGCAACACTTGCACCAGATGTTCCAAGCCAAATTACAAAAGAGGAAAAGATGGTCAATGGATTCAGCTTCACCACAAAAAGTACATTTACTTTCTATGTTCATCACACAGCCTCCCTTATGCAATACCCCAATCACAGGAATGCCACCTTTTAGAGCTTTCCAACGAAAGACTTCAACTTAGGAGGGGCAAAACCTTTCCAAATATATTTTTCTGTAGAGACTGTGTTACATGTGGCTTTCTCCAGCTGAATGCGAAAAGATTTGCGGTGGTAAACGCCATTGGTAGTATGTATCCATATGAGGCGGTCTTGAGCTTTGTTACAGAGTGACACAGAATTTAGAAAAGCTGTAAACTGCCTCCAGGTTTCAAGTTCCCAATCAAAAAATTCCTTCGAAGTAAAATTTGCCATCTTCAAATTTACCCATCCCATTCACCATAGTATTTTAGGAAACCATCTTTATTAATGAAGAGAAAGTATATTCATCCAAAAGCCAACTTTAATGATAGACCTTGAATCCATTTGTCACTCCAGAAGCGAATATTGGCACCATCACCTGCACAAAAACAAAAACTAGATTGTATAATGTTAGAAAAGCACCTCCCATCCCAAGTGTTTTGAATATCACTCCATATCCGAGAAAGCGAGCGAGATGGATAGGAAGCAGGCCACAAATCCTTAGCAGAGAGGTTATATTTGTTACAAATTGCAGCCCTATAAAATGCTTTCTGCTTATTCCCAAACCACGTAAACCATTTCAACAATATTGCTTAGTTATAATGCAGCATTTTAGAGATACCCAGTCCTTTTAAAATACTTACTTCTATATATTGAGTTCCAGTCCATCAGCCTCATATTCCTTTTATTCTCATTGTCTCCCCACAAAAACTGTCTCTCCATTTTCTCCAATTCTAGTAGAACCCCTCTTGGAGCTTTAAAAAGTGACATTAAATATATGGGGAGATTAGCTAGAACTGACCTAATCAAAGCAATTCTACCACCTAAAGACAGCAACTTACTCTTCCATATGTTTAGCCTATTTCTGAATGATTCAATGACAGGTTGCCATGTAGATATTAACCTCGGATTGGAGCCTAAAGGGAGCCCCAAGTACTTCGTGGGTAGATTATCTATTTTGCAATGAATTTTATCAGTCCATTCCGATAGAATCTGTGAGTCTATGTTAACTCCGATCAGCGCACTTTTTGAGAAGTTGACTTTCAAGCCCGCTGCTAACTGGAAACACCGGAGGACTCTTTTGATTGTAAGAAGATGCTCAAATTTTGGTTGACAAAAAATAATAGTGTCATCTACAAATTGAAGATAAGTTATCTGTAGACCTCTATTCCTGACACTTATTCCTCTGATGAGTTCCAAGTCAACAGCCTTATTGAGTAAAAGACTCAATGCTTCTGTAACCATTACAAACAAGAATGGAGATAGGGGATCGCCCTGTCTAAGACCTTTTTGCATCTCGATAGGATTTGTCAGGGATTCATTTATTAATATTGATATTGAAGCCGAAGAAATCCAACCTCTAATCCATCCAATCCATTTATTTTCGAAGCCCATGAGACTTATAATGTACAGGAGAAAGTTCCTGTTGACCTTATCAAAAGCTTTCTCAAAATCTAACTTGAGCACCAAACCTCCGTTTGCTAATTTTTTGAGGCTGTCAAAAACCTCATTTGCAATAAGGATGCTATCTATAATTTGGTGGCCTTCCACAAAGGCGGATTGAGTCAGGCTAATGAGAGAACCCACTACTTGTTTCAATCTATTTGCTAAGGTCTTTGCCAGAATTTTGTAGATGCTCCCTATTAATGATATTGGTCGAAAGTCGTTTAGAGATTCTGCACAGTGTTTTTTTGCCGCCAGAGCTATAAAAAAGCTATTGATCCCTTTCGTGAGCTTTCTCGTGTTGAAGAACTCTTGGAAAAACTCCATGATTTCCAACTTGAAGAGACTCCACTTTCTTTTCATAAAATTCATGTTAAAGCCATCTGGACCTGGAGCTTTTTCACCATTACAAGACATAATTACATCCAGCACTTTCTTTTCTGAAATGGGAACTTCTAATTGAAGGGCTTAACTAGGGGTGGCACATTCGAAAATGCATTTGAGAATACCAGAGATGGGCCTTTATCTTTTATGAAGTGCTCTAAGAAATGCTTTTTTACTGCATTTTTAATTTCCTTAGTGCTATTAAGTTGTCTGCCGTTGAAAGATAGGTGGCTAATAAAGTTATTCCTCCATCTACTACTTGCAATACAATGGAAGAACTTTGTGTTTCTGTCCCCTTCCTGATGCCATTTCAGTCTTGCCTTTGTCTCCACGTTTGTTCTTCTATAGCCTGTGCATGCCATAGTTCCTTCCTCTTCGCATTGATCATAGTACTGACTTTAACATTGGAAGGATCGGCCTCATGTTTTTTCTCCAGACTGCTAATCTCACTATTGAAGAATTCTATGGATTCCATCATGCCACCTTTTACATAGCTTTTCCAAGATTGAATGTCCTGCTTTAAACGTTTCAGTTTTTGGTGAAGCCTAAAACCTGCGAAACCTTGCACCTTGTAACTGTTCCAATTTTCATCCACCGGCATGTTAAATTCACCATTTTGTAGCCAATGATTAAAGAGTTTGAAGGGCTTCAGTCCCCAGGCCATAACATCAATGCCCGGATAAATGGCTATGTGGTCGGAAAAAGAACCATCTAAGCTCTATTGATTAACTGATGTAAAAGTAGATAACCAGTTCATGGATAGAGGGAATCTATCGAGTCGGCTCATTGCTGGAAAGTTATTCCTTCTGTACCAAGTGTATTTTCTCCCTATTAGTGGCAGATCAACAAGCTCTGAACCTGTCACGCCCCGAATTGAGACATAACACGGCCATATTACCTTGAAGAAATTCTCAAAGTAATACGAAGCTTTCTTTCTTAAACATTCTAAAATTCTTCAATAAAAACAATATACCAAGTAAAATTTATATCTTTAATCCAACTGATGATATATCTTTATATATCCAAATACGAACCATATAAAATACAAAACTGTCTCTTAAAATCTCATTGGCCAACATATTCTCTGACGATTAAATAATCATACCCATTTCATCTTCTAGCTTCACATAAGACTAACCAAACTTATCGCTTAGTCATCTGTAAAGAAAAAGTAAAAGGGGAATGAGCAAACCACAGCTCAGTAAGTATAGGCTCACACATCTTACCGGATCAAACATCATTTTCATACATGTCATATAAATCATTCAAAACATTTGTCAAATCATAATGTCAAAATATTTTAAGATCATCGTTTTATCAAATATTTCATAAATTCATAAATCAATATCAAAATATGTCACTTCATAAATCATTGTAAAATATGTTATCATTCAAACATCATAATCAAATCAAATCATGGATCAATCATTAAAAATTATCGTAAATCATCATTATCATAAATCATCATTATCATTCAAATCGTTAGCTACGATCACTGCTATAACCCGTGACATTGGCCGTATCGACAATTTCATTCTCATGATCATTGCTAACTATTATAACCCGTTAGCCAGGGCTTACGCTAACTACTATTACCCGTTAGCCAGGGTCGTATGATCATGTCTTTGCTAACTACTATTATCCGTTAGCTAGGGTCGTAGAACTAGTTCTGGTGTCGATGATCCCACTTCCCAGGGATATAAAAACGTAGCTATCATAAAATTATTCTTTAAATATAAATCATTTTCTCATTTCATTCATAAGCATGATCCATCATTTATATAAAAAAACATAAAATAATCATATGCTTGATCCTATTTTCATATATCGAAAATAAAGAAATAAAACGTTCTTTCATTTAGAAACATATATAAATATATACATAGATTCGAAAACAAGCAAAGTGTGTGAGATTCTACTTACCTCCATTCAATTCCACCACTTAATTTTTCCCATAAAATAATTAATGGCCTATCCAAGATCATTTCAACAGATCAGAATTTAATCAACCTTTTTTGAGACCATTTATACAAAAATCAACTAAGTTACGTAAAGGGTTAACTTAACTAATTAATACTGGCAGCCTGACCTCTTTTCATTAAAACAGTCATATCTCAATATATCTAAATCAGAATTATGATCTCTTTAATGCGTTAGAAACTAGACTTAATAAGCTTTCTAACCATATATGGCACACCTCGTAATTCCTTATAGATTAATTATAACAATTTTTGAAATCCATGTCATATACTACTGCCAAACAGACTGTACACTTTCTAATAAAAATTATATATTTATTCACAGGAAACTCCAAATTCAATTCCGCTTGTTTCATTGGAAAGTAGACTCAATAAGCTTTCCAAACATATATGGCTTAATCTGTAACTCCTTGTATACAATTAAGAAGAATTTCGTAATCCAACCCTAATGTTGCTGTTTTACAGCCTGTATATCCTTAAGTTAAAATTAGACAACTCTTCATAGAAAATTCGGATTTGACTTTCGTTTGTTTCATTAGAAACTAGATTCAACATGCTTTCCAATGATATATAATAATCACAGAAATAATCTATCTATTAATACAAATTCTATTTTAATTCATTATTACAGATCACAATATCTCATCCAAAAATAGAATTTCTCCTTCAATCTTTAAAAACTCAAATCCTTATTTTCAGCCTTCAAACTCTATTCAATAATCATCAATAACTCTTAAGAACATAAAATAAATAAAGCCCAGTAATTTACCCATATAGGTCATCAAGATTAATGAAGGATTTCATGATTTTTCTTGGTTTTTCTCTCAAAACTTCAACTCCAAATAATAACAATCAACTTGATATTTCTTTTCAAATAAAAAGAGGGCATGTACTCACCTTTAAGGGATTAACTTGATTGTAGCCTCTGATTGTGAATCTCCAACTTGATTTTTCATATTCTCTAACCCTAAGGAAGATGAAGAAGAAGAACTCTATATCCTTTCTATTTCACGATAGTTAGGTTTTCTTTCATCTAATACTTCAACCCTTTTTCTTTTACTAAATAATGTCTTAATAAACTTATGGGTTTTAGTATTAGTCTAGCCCAATTATTATTTGGGCTAGGGTATTACAGAACCTTGGACAAAGACATTGAAATCATTAATGGATTTGGAGCAATCTGAAGTCCCGACTCTTTCTTCTTCACTTAAGACTGAGTTGAAATCACCTGCAAAGCACCAAAATTCATCATCATTAGTTATCAACTGTGCAACTTCCTCAAAGAAAAACTTTCTCTCATTGACATTATTAGGGGCATAAATATTAATAGGATTAAAGACTCCAGGGAATCCCGAGAAAGTTCCTTTCAACTAAATGTATCTTTCTTGAATCACAGAAGATATATTGAGCTTTACTCCATATACTGATTAAGGCCCATGCAAGGCCACATGAGTCACTGTGTTTGAAATTTATGTCATTTCCCCTCTAAAGCTGTTGAATGATTCTGTTCGATACCCCTTGGAATTTCGATTCTTGGATGAATACTAATGAAGGTTTTTCCTTAGAAATCAATTTTTTAAAGGCCCTCCTTTTTTCTGATTTTCCAATTCCTCTAATATTTTTGAAATTAACTTCATTGAAACTAAATAAAACCCCATGAAGGAAGAGAAAGCATGAAATTTTTAAGGGTTACCTGCCTTTGCATCCTCGTCCTTCTCCATAGCCATAAGCTTTTTAGTTATATCCTCATCGTCCATGTCTCCAGTTAATCCAAGGAGCTTACCAACTTCCAATGTCTTCTCAGCCTCTATTCGTAGGATTCTATTTCTACTTCTGATATCTTCATCTGAAATGAAAGCTTCCTCTAACATTTGTAGCTTTAGAAGGTCAGCTGTATTTTGTGACTGGAGCTTCTCCTTTTTACTTTTTTTCTGAGCTAGTTTTCTCTTATTTACTGGAACCTTCTTGTTAATATCAGAATCAAGCACCAGCATCGATTTCCTACTTCTCCCAGCATTTTTTGTTTTCTTGGTTGGGTTTTCATGTAACGTTTTTCCTTTCTCACTGGGGGCCATATTGGTTATTGCAGCCTTTTTGTTTACAATACTTCCCTCAGCCATAAACATTTCTTTAGAGCATAAGGCTATATTGAGCCCAAAATTCTCTTCCCCGTCATTAATGGGTCTTTCCTTGTTGAACTGCTCATTTTCACAATCATGTGGATTTGGGCTAATTTGCTCTTCCACCCATTTTTTTCATAGGCCTACCACATTTCCCCAAATCAGAAACCTCAAACTCCTCCACTTGAATAAACCTGTTTTCTGTTGAGTGCAACTCTAAATTATCTATTATCATACAACCCACATCATCAATGCTGCCTTGAGAATGTCACAAATTTGAAAAGGATGGCTTATATGTTGTTGTGCCAGCTGTTGTATTCATTCCCGAAAGAATACTGGTTTTCATTTTACTTCCATATTCCTGCATGCATGTGAACTGCTTCTCTTCCTCTCTGTATTCTCCATTGATGCTTGAGTTAACCTCATTGGGAGAACTTTCATTGGACATGGATAGGATGAATTTTTCCTTTGTAATCTTCTTCACACTGGAATTCCATAAAAAGTCAGGCCTTTTTTCGATAGAACATCGGATATTGTATTGGATCCCTTTTAACTCAACATGTATTGAACTGGATGGTGAAGCTCTTTGTTCATAAGAGATAAAACTCTTGCTACATCCAAATGTTTTTTGAACATTGTACTGTCATCAATTGATATAAAACTTCCCCAAAGATCACCAATTTTTTTGAAGAAAGCATAAGACCAAGCATGAAGAGGTATATTTTCTAACTTTAACCACACAAACTTATTGTTGCTAATGAGATCAGCAGTCCATGGCACTATCCAAAAGAACCATTCGCTAAGCCATGTTTTCCCTTCTTGGAGCATACCGATCATTTCTTCTTTTGATTCAAATGTTAAAAACACCAAACTTCCCCCCATCATCACAACTGAAAAGTGAGAAACGCCTTGACTAAAAATATGTCGTTGAGGCAAGTGAATGGATTGAGGATTCTTGACCTCTGCTATAGCACATTTATCCAGCCACTCCAACTCTAATTCTTGGTCTTCCAGAACAATCTGGTTCTCCCTTGTAATACCTTTTTCATGTAAGGAGTCCAATGATACAACAACCTTTCGTGCTTCGCCCTTTGGCTCTTCGCCCTTTGGAAAAAGCACACATCTAACTTATTAAGAGAGAAAGAATAATCAAAGCGACGTCAAAATTGGTATTCTTGGGCGTGCTTCAACACTCAAGTAAATGCCTAGGTGCGGAAAAAAGGAAGCTGGTGAAAGTACTAAGAATAGTTGGAGTAGAAAAAAATTTATCTTCCAACTCTTTACCACGAAAGAAAGAACGATTCAAGGGACAGTAGAGTTAGGACTTGGTTGCATTTCAACGTTCAAGTAAATGACTAGATAAGGAGGAAGGTGAAAAGAAGCTGATGAAAGTAGCCGAGAATGCTTGGAGTAGGGAAAAACTTACCTTCCAGCTCTTTACCTGAAAGCTTTTGTAAGTGATTTGTATGGTGTAGGTCAATTGTAATGTATGCTTGCCTCAATTAAGACAAGTGTCAAATAGGTAACAATTTTAGCAGGACAAAAGAAGTATAGATGGCATTCTTAGAGCTGTCTAGGTCATTTTTTCTGTGTGAGCCTCTTGAGTTTAATCTTATCTTGAACCTTTAGCTTATTGAGTCTAATAAATGAAAATTGTTAAATGTGGCAACTGATAGTGTTGAACAGGAGCTTAATTAATTATTTGGAATTTTTTATCCTTCTGGTTGTTTTAGATTTTGGATTATTTATTTTTTAAAATGTAATTTGACTTCTATTTATCAATTTGAGTTGATAAAAGGTTGGATGGATCTTTCAAAATTATGGTTGGGATATTCATTTTACTCTAAAAAACTAAGGTCTAATTCAGAGTCATTTTGATTCGAATTATTAACTTCTTATTAAACATGTTGGATGCATCATCTAAAATGAGTCTTTGTTACTTTTACCCAAGCCAATTTAGAGTTGTGAAATGATACAAATTATCACTTTCTTAGATTTTCTTCAACATTTTCTTTAAATTTCCCAAATGACTAATTAATGAAAAATAGGAATTTACCAAGGGATCGATTCAATTGTTGTTTGCCTCGACAATAAAAAGGTTTTAGGTTCAAGCACTGATGAATGCTATCTAGAATGTAAGTTTTGGTGAGTAAGAAAACTGCATATTTTTGTAACCAAATTTGGAGATTGGGACAGCCTATATATCTATTCCTTAATTTCTTTTACCAAATAAAAACCATAAGAAGTGAATTAATGAAATGAATTGAAGTAGCTAGGCACATTTTCTTTGTCCAAAAGGAAATGAAAAGTTTGTTATGATTTTCTCGGGAAAAAGGGAATTTATATTCAACATTTTCTGAGTTTTTGACTTTCATAACCAAAAGCTAGCCAGCACAAACAGGAAGAGCTTACAAGTAACAATGCCAATATCTTTTTGCCCAAAGAAACACCGAACTGGAAACATGGAAAAGAAAAAAATAATTACATTTTCAAATTGGAAGCTAGACATGCATGTTCAAGGATGTGTCTCCTTGATTACTCCAAGTTAGTGTAAAACTGAAAAGGAGAGGAAACATTATCATTGCATAGGAATATATATTTTCTCAAATTTCTAAAAACAACAAAAGATCAGATGATAAACTTTCTGGATTCTTTCAAACAGATTTCCAGTGGCTGTGATCCATGGCCACCATTTTTGCTGCTCAACTTCATTTAATGTGGGGGGGGGCTGAATATGTCCGAATGAAATTTTTTACTTGGACTGAAACCCTAGCCACCCATTGATAATTATTCATTGGCTTAAGCATGATTAATTTCGGGTATATTATGTAAAAACCAGTACTTAGCCTAACATTCTTTCATATTATTAAATACCTTCTGAGACTTACCCAAGACAATTTCAAAAAGCTTGGTGGCAGTTTCTAGATTGGGAATTGCCTCTGACAAGCCTTTGGGGCCACAACTTGATTAATGTAGGACCCCTTGTGGGATGTTTGTAGTACAAATTGATTATCGCCAATTGCCATCAATGTCATATGGACTTACTTTGCTAACTAATAATGATAATACGAAAGTAATTGATGGCATGGCCCGCTTCTGCTGCTTTGAGAAAGGATGTGGGGATATTATGAGGTTGAACTTGATTCTACTATACATTTTTTGTCACCATGCTCCCCGACCCTCTCAGTTGAGAAATACATATTAAAATTTTCTTATCCTTAACGATCAAACAATTGAAGAAGAACTGAGTCCACGGAAGTACTCTATGAAAATTTTTTAGTATAAGCTATACAAAGACGATGGTAATTAAGGAAAAAAATATTGAAAAAAATATATAATGTGGAGGCAATTACAAGTTTTATGCTTAGTTGTTGGCTTAAGCTGAGATAAGTTTTTTTTTTTTTTTGACAAAAAAGGTGTGTTGTGTATTTATTTCATTTTAGCTAGTTTCAAACTATAATTTAGGTTGGAAGGAAACAATTAACTTTTTTCTAACATCATTAATGAAAAGACACAATAATAAGTGTGAGTTTAACTTAAGGCATGATTTTACATAGAAAAAAGAAGGTGAGATGGTGACTGCCTAAAATTGCATTTATGGGATTAGGTCTTTGCATTGAAAGTATTGTATTCACCTCCTCCTCATAATCATTCGAATTCAATTTCAAGACAATCGAAAAAATCTCTTAATATTTCAGAGAGAATGTTTAGTTGTAATTGGAACAATTTTATTTTCCGTACTTCCCTTAGCCTTTGTTAATTTTTCAACGATCATATAAACTTATAATAACATTCTCCTTGAAAGAAAATCGAATCCCCTCATCATGTAGATTTTCAAAAGTGAAGACATATGGTTTGAATTGGAACCAGTCCACTGTTTATCACAGAAAAAATGAAGCAAACTAATAAATTTCTTTCCTTTTTTCTACTAAACATGTTAAACCTCTTGCTTTGGTTGTTCTATTGGCCTACTCTATTATTGTGTAACACAGCCTACCCAAATCAAAATCCTAATTCTAAGGGTGGATCATTTTGAGAATTGCTTAAAGTCATGTCAATCAATTTAGTTTGGCATTTGATTTTTGACAAAATTAGCATTGGCTATACGTTTTCAACAAGGAAAGAAAACTCTTTTTTGTCTCTCCCTTTTCACCCTTTTCATCAAGAAATTTATCACATCAAGGAAGGTGCATTGTCCTTTCTCTTTGTAGGTTTAGCCATGGGTGGATGAATTTTAACTTAGTTTTTACCTCATTTATTTTTCACTGCCTTTTGGGAAATTCATAAGCAAATTGGTAAAAGTTAAAATTATGTCCAAATAGTCGGAATTTTTAATTATTCGAAAAAGTTAAATATTTCATAAAATTAACCAATAATCATATGATTTGTTGGTAAAATATTGAATTTTTAATTTTAATGACAAAATTTAATATCTAAGAATTTTAATTATCGACTATTTAAAAAAAAAACATAAAATTAGACAATCGAAGAATAGTGAAAATAAATAGTATTAATAATTATCATGAAAAATCTTATTCCCGGGTATTTATTTTTGCTTTTGTGGTGAAGCAAGAGAGAAAAGGGCCATAGTTGCCGTCAGTCAAGGTGGTCCTGATGTAGATACGGGGAAGAGTTTTCTAGCTGTGACCCACAAAGAGATTTTGACCAACGAGAGGAGTGATAATTACAGCACCTTTTCCATTTTAGAAATGAGAACGTTTAGAATTGAAGCAACGAATAGAAAGTGCACTCAAAATTTTGTGAAAGTTTCTCACATCCCAAACTATAGAGCAAGAAAAGAAACAAGAAAATCAATGCTTCCAGCTTGATGCAGTCCTTTATTGCATCATCCTATTGAAATTTCGGTGAAGAATGTTACTTTAATAATTAGTGTTTTACGGTACCATTTATTAGGACATGATTAATGAATATAATTCATTGAATAAAAAGTTGTTTCGTAGATGGAAGAGGGGGAAAGAACTAGCTTTCATGGAATAAACGTAAAGATGAATTTCTGGTCAAAATCTATAGCTTTATCAATCTCATCTTCTTTATATATACCAAAAAAAAAAAAAAATCCTCTTCTAAGGCTCCATTTGGAAGCAACTGAAGTACCAGTGAGGTGCAGTTGTCATAAGAATATGTGATTACTGGAGCTTTATTTCCCAAATGATCCAATGATGTGTTTTTTAAAATGCCAGTCATCAATTGGTCATTTTTATCCAGTTGATGACCAGCCACAGATTTCTTTTTTTCTTTTTCATTTTTATCCTTTAAATTATATTGTAATATTGAAAATTAAAGTGCAAATTTACGAAGATTCAAATGATAATTTTAGAAGAAAATCCT